GAAAGGCCAGGTGTAGCCTCTGAGAAAGGCCAGGTGTAGCTTCTGAGGAGGGCCAGATGTAGCCTCTGAGAAGGGCCAGGTATAGCCTCTGAGGAGGGCCAGGTGTAGCCTCTGAGAAAGGCCAGGTGTAGCCTCTGAGGAGGGCTAGGTGTAGCCTCTGAGGAGGGCCAGGTGTAGCCTCTGAGGAGGGCCAGGTGTAGCCATCTGAGGCACATCCCAATGTTGTCATCTACACAGTCCACACTTCTTAAAGTTTCCATCACCTCCGAAAATAGCAGCAGGAGCTGGGATCCACTGTTGACCATGTGCCTATATGTGGAGTACTGTGTATGTAAGTGTAGCAGCCCATCACAAATGGGATTAATGCTCACATGAAAGAGAAATCCTCTCCACTTCTTCCATATGAGCATCAGAACAAGTATGGCTGTCCCATGAGCTAGTATTATTCCCAGATCCACAGAGTCCCCCCGCCCCCGAAACCAACAAGTCCCGAGTCCTGTATGTAAAAGCAAAGAGCCTTTATTTTTACACAAGTTCGCAACTTGGGTTCTCTGTGTGCCCAGGGTATTGACGCAATCGGAGCACTCTGAGCTCAGTTGGGGTTGGGTTTTTATAGTAGCAAAGGTAGGGGTGAGGGCTTTCTAAGATTCAGGACCCCCGATTGGTTGACATTTGTCTAAGCATGTCTGGTGAAAAGTGATAAGTGTGTGCTGGCAGGTGATCCTATCTGCAGTGGTTGGAACATTAGAAATTTCTCCTTGGTGGAAAGGGGGATGGGTGTGTGCTGGGCTAAGGGACTTCAGTTCCTGGGTGAAGCATGGGTGGTCTCAGATTGTGGTCTCTCTTAGAACCAGGTATTGCCTTAGGGTAAACTGAGACTCAGGCCTGCCTTCCTATTGATCTTGAACCTGTCTTGGCAGGTGTGTACCAAGCTGCCCTGGGTCCTACATTAGGAAATGGGTCATTACCAGACATCATGTCTTGCCAGTAACTTGATCTTAGTCTTCTAACCTGCAGAACTGTATGAGATAAATGACTTTATTTGTAAGCTACATAGTGTAAGCTATCCCGTTACAGCCGCGCAGACAGAGACAATGTAGAGATGTGAAAATACATAGATAAAATACAGACTGCCTGGGTTTGTGGTATGGATCTTATACTGTGTTCTTGTGAGGACGCAGTAAAACCACTGAGCTGGGCCACGCCATGTGTAGAAAGAAAGGGTTATTTGGAGAAATGGCTATCTCCGGGGGTAGGAGGGAGGACAGAGAAGACAGCCAAAGGTGGGGAAAGCTTTGACAGTTTTAAAGAACTAGGCTGTGATAGGATGGAGCCTGGAAGCTGAATAGCCTGGAAGTTTAGAATCAGGGCGCTGGTGCAGGGAAGGAGAAGGAACCGTCTAGCTTGGGGACTTCAGTGTGTGTTACAGGGATGTGTTAATATGAACCAGGCGCCCCATGTGGAGCTGTAGGGGCAGATATGGGAAACAATGGCTGTTCCTGACAGACAGAAGTCTTATTCACAGGTTTCTAAGCAGTAGTTCTCAATCTGTAGGATGCCACCGCTTTGGGGCCGAACAGCCCTTCACAGGCATCACCTAAAACCATCGGAAAACACAGATATTTACATCAGGATTCCTAACAGTAGCAAAGTGACAGTTGTGAAGCAGCAGAGAAATAATTACATGGTTGGGGGTCACCGCATCGTGAGGAGTTGTATTAAAGGGTTGCAGCACTAGGAAGGTTGAGAACCGGTTTTTAAGGAATACTGACTTTAGGCTTTTGTTGATATACCAGCTGTTATGGTAAAAATAAAACGGCACCGGCATCATTCCCTGAGTGGCCTGGGCCAAAATGCTACTGGTCCCCGAGTAGCAGCAGTGGGTAGCGGGCCACGAGGCCATAGTGGCCCATGAAGACAGCCGGTCCTAGGGAGGGAGTCATGCAGAGTGAGGTTGGATATTTATTTAGTGGGTTATGGAAGGGAAGGGAAAAGAGGGAAGGGGAGAAGGGAGAAGAGCAGAGAGAGAAAGAGAAACAGAGGGAGGGGGAGGGAGGAGGGGGAAGGGGAAAAGTGGGGAGAAGGGAGCAAGGCAGAAGCTTCCTCTTAGGGAGAGAGCCAAAAAGGAAGGGACTCAGGCTGGAAGTGGAAGGAAGGTTTGCTTGCCTCAGTGGAGGGGGTGGTGGTGGGCGTGGCCTCTCTCTTAAAGGGACAGAACAGACCATTACACCAGCAATCCTTCTGATTACCTGCCTGAGGTGAGCCCAGACTATAATTGCCATAGTCTGTGGCACTGCCATTTTGGGGGCCTACTTTGTACCTAACTGTTCTCTGTGACCTTGGCAAAGTTACGTATGAGAGCAGTAGACACCTCACGTGAGTTCAGCTAAGGACTAAGTGCTTTGATACATGAAACCCTGTCTCCAAACAAGGAAACAAAACAGCCCAGGGTTTCACAGATCACCCTTCTCTTCCTGCAGGTCTTCACTCTAAACAGGTTTGATTTGCACAGACAAGTTAGCCCAGGTCGCTGCTGCTTTGATTAGTGCTAGGCCACTGTAAAGCCGGCTAATGTTTTCCTGAGTATATGATAGCTTAGTTTGCCAAATGAAAGTGCCTTGCTCTCTGCCGTCTGCGTGCACTGATCGCCCCTCTCTTCTAGGTTGGGAGTGGATTCCTTGGGAAGAATTTCCTCCATCAGACCAGCTTTTCTGGGCTCTCCGCTGCTTAAAAGAGCAAGGCTATGACCCATTTAGAGAGGACCTGAACCACCTGCACGGGTACAGAGGAGAGCACCTCGAAGGAGCCAAGAAAATTCCTTGATTTAAAACAAAACTTTAGTAAATGAAAGATTCCATGTCTCAGGACAACTCCATTTTATTTGCAAAGCCGTGTGGTCGTTAGTTTATTTACAGTCTCCTAAAGTAACTCGAACCTGGAATGTGTCCCTGAGTAAGATGAACAGGAACTTGTGGCTAATTATATGTATTGCTGTAAGTTACCCTTGTTGGCTGCATAGAAGCAAGTGTAACAGATTTTGTCTTGCTGTTCTAATTCCAATAGAGGTCAAAGTTCAGATACGGCCATTCAAATTTGGAAGCAATTTGCCCACTGCAAAATTCATCAGGCTTGTTGACGTCCTTTCTCCTCTCGAGAAGAATTTTTTAACGATGATGTGACAGTCATGATGTGTGTTCGGCTGCACTTCCTGTTTCCGACAGGGAATCTGTGTTAAATGTGAGACAAAGTTTGGATCCTACTGCTAAAGGTCAAGCCAGCCGCCTTTCCCTCTCTCTGCCTGAGATCCTGTATGCGTCCTTGTATGGTGGCATCACACAGAATGGTGCACTGGGTCTCCGAGTGGGGTGGGGGATCTCCCAGAGGTCCTCCAGAACTTTGCAGGACACCAAGGGCAAAAGCTGGTTGGTTGGTTGCTCTCCCCTCCACCCCCACCCCCACCCCCAGCAAATTGTAAAGCTTTCCTGTGAGAGACTCAACAGTGCAATGCCTCACAGGGCGGCATGTACAGGGCTGCATCCCTGCAATGAAACCTACCGGGCTGGTCTGGATTTTAACCTGCTTCTGGCTTTAGGGGGATTTTGGAAAAATCACCTTCTTGGTGTAAGGATCACCCCAGGCATAGCGAATGCTAACAGCGGAAGCTTCTAACCAGCCCATGGTGATCAGCGTCCAGCGAAGCCCTGGAGTGTGTGTGCTGTCTCATCTTCACTTCGTGAGGCAGAGCATGGTTTTCTGGCTGATGTTTCTCCAGTCACTGGCTCCCGCTGCTGCCCAGGCCCCTGGGGAGCTCTTCCTGTGAAGTTGTTTTCCAGTCCCCTCTGCTGCATCGGTGCCTCGTGAGCTTTGTATCCTGTGCTTTGGGCTCTTGTTCTTTCCATAGCAATCCTGTTTCACATGGATTAATGTTTTCTTTCTTTGGTTTTTATGAGACAGGGTTTTCCTGGCTGTCTTGGAACCTGTTCCATAAACCAAGCTGGCCTCAAACTCGGAGTTACGCCCACCTCTGCCTCCCAAGTGCTCGGATTAAAGGCGTGCACCACCACTGCCCAGATTAATTTCTTCTGATCAGAGCAAAAACAAAGAAGATGGTGGGGGAACGCAGTTGCACCTCCTGTGCACAGCCCTGGCAGATGGTTGAAGAGTGTTGTTACACAGTCTAGAGTTATTTTTATAATATCCAAATATCACAAATTTTTGCATTCTTATTTTTTGACAGTCTCATATAGCTCAGGCTGGCTTCCAACTCAGTGTCTGAAGCTGGGGATAACCTTGAACTCCTGATCCTCCTGCCTCAGCCTCCCTGATGCTAAGATTCCAACTGCACCCCTCCTCATTATCTTGTTAAGTGTGCAGAGCAGCTGTCCAGAGCCACCTGATGCATGGTTCCTTTCTGGGTGGTTTGGGTACTGGGGTTTGAACCTAACCCTTCACACGTGATGGCAGAGAGCCAGCTTCCTCCTGTCGGGTCAGATGCGGAAGAGATTTGCTCCAGGGTAAGATGACGACTTCCTCACTGGTGAATTTTTGTTAGTTTTTGTTTGCTGTTAGCATGCATTCGATTTTTATGTGGTCAACAAACTTTTCTCGTTTTAAATTTCTAATGTTAAATATCATTTCATAAAAGCTTATAAAAATAAAGTCCGATTTTTTTCAGGAATTTATAAAGGGATCAAAAACCTAAGGGCTCCGGAGATGGGTTTAGTTCAGTGGTAGAGAATTTGCTAGGTGGGGTTCAGTCCTCAGCTCCAAGAAAAAATTACAAAAGACTAAAGAAAAAAAAAAAGGCAACCAAAGGTGTTTTGAATATTTACCCAAAGTAACTAACAACTGAATTTTGCTCTTTAAAACACTATTATTGTGATGTTTGTTATGGAAAAAAATTTTAAATTACACCTTTTTATAAACCCCATTTTCTCTTACTTACACCTACATTGTCTCAATGTTTGTGTTCAAATTTGATACATGTATACTCCTAAGACATCTGGGACTGGGGAGATGCTGCTGGGTCTTAAAGAACCAGATGACCTGGAACTCACAATGTACACCAGGCTGGCCTCAAACTCACATACATCTGCCTGTCACCATGCCTGGCACATGTGCATTTTTAAAAATTTTATGTGCATTGGTGTTTTGTCTAAATGCTTATGTGAGCGCTGGATCCCCTGGAACTGGAGCTACAGACAGCTGAGTTGTCATGCAGGTGCTGGGGATGGAACCCGGGTTCTCAGGAAGAGCAGCCAGTGCTGTTTAGCCTCTGTGTCACCTTACACGTTTTTTGTTGTTTTTCTTTTTTTGCTTTATTAAGACAGTTTAACAGCCCTGGTTGTCTTGGGACCCACTCTGCAGGCCAGGCTAGCCTGGAACTCAGGAATCTGCCTGCCTCTGTCTCCTGAGTACCAGGATTAAAGACATGTGCCACCACTGACCAGTATGCACATGTGGATTATTAACTAGAATCTTCCAATGTTAACTGGCACTAACCCTGGTAGAAGGCCACGTGTACGCTTTATGCTGATATTATCTGTTATTTTGGTTTTTCGAGACAGGGTTTCTCAGTAGCTTTGGAGCCAGTCCTAGAACTAGCTCTCATAGACCAGGCTGGCCTCAAACTCACAGAGATCCTCCTCCTCTTCCTCCCGAGTGCTGGGATTAAAGGTGTACACCACCACCCACCCAGTTTATGCTGTTCCTTAAATGCTCTAAAATAATGTATATTACATTTGCAGTAATAAAAAATAGTTGTTTAAAAAACTGATAATTATACAAATATCTTAGACACAGATGGTAACTGCTTGAAGTTAAAAACAGTTTAAAGTATGGAACTGGAGAGCTCAGTGGCTAAGAGCACAGACTGCTCTTCCAGAGGACCCAGGTTCAATTCCCAACACCCACACGGAAAAAAAAAAGATATAGTCAATTCATTCATCTTGTATGTTCTCATATATACCAGAATCTTATTTGAATATTATAAAATGCAACTTTTTGTTTGTTTGTTTGTTTCCCAAGACAGGGATTTCTCTGTGTAGTCTTTGCTGGAACTCACTTTATAGACCAGGCGGGCCTCCAACTCAGATCTGTCTACCATTGCCCTCTGAATGAGTGCTAGATTAAAGGCATGTGCCACCACTCCCTAGTTTAAATGCTTCCTTCCTACACTGAAGGTGTACCTAAATATATATAATAATAGACAACTGAAAAAAATTAAAATACAAAAAAAGCAAGTTTATTTACACAAATTACAGTATTTACCACATATAAATAGTGATAGTTCTGTCGCTGCTACGCAGCCGACTCTGCCCTCAAGAGAGCACTTTGACTTTGCAATAGCACACTCAGAGCTCTGCTACCTTGTTCTGCAGGGCTGCTCTGGCTCAGATGGCTCAGCGCTTACTATATAGGTCAAACTGACCTCGCACTCACAGCAATCCCCCAGTCTCCCAGGTGCTGGGATTACTGGTATGCGCTGCCATGCCTGGCTCAGTGTCCTGTCAAGTAATCCCCGCGAGTTATGTGTCATGTCCTTCAGTCTCTTTTCCAGAGCTGCTGTGTACGAACCCAACACAGCAGTAATTCTGACTAATCCGTAAACAGTTGCCTGGCAGATGAGACAGAAACCCCAGCTGGTTTGCAGAGGGCTGCTCCTCAGGGGCGTGTGGTTTGCATTTCCCTCTGGAGAAATCTGCAGCACCGGAGCCTGCATAAAGCCACACACCTCCTTCAATCAGAGTCGCTACTGCTGCTTGAGGAGTCTGTAGACATAACCTCGACATCATCTTCATTCTCCTTGTTGTGCCCAGGAGGCTCCAACAGAAAGTCACTGCTGTGATTTGGTGGTAGCATGTTCACAGACATGTCATTTGACTGCCATGGGTACTGTGGAGCAAGGACATCTGGAGAAAAGCACATGGGATCAGTTCTATTTGTAATCCATTGATATGTAATCAATCACCCTCCCATTATGCAAGTAACTTAATTTCATCTACCCACCTACTTTGTAGTACCAAAGATCTAACAAGATTAGGGTTTCACACATGCTAAACACAAACTACATCCATCTACATCCCCAGCCAGGGGTCCTGTGCCATGGTTCTCTATATGATCGCTATATATCCATTATATGTTACTAATTCATACTTCTTTCAATTTTCCTTTTCAAGTTACTGGTGTGGTTTGTCTCTCAAAAGGATTATAACAGTGTAGTACAATCGCAGTGAGAAAGACAAGAATATCTGGGATCAATAAACAGAGTTCCCAAATTCTCACTTGAGCACAGAAGTGATAGCTACACCCGGGCTTCAGAAAACAGTCCCCACTCAGGTCCCTTCTCGTTTAGGAAGGTTCTTCCACATTAAAACATGGCACCTACAAAACATGCTTGGTCTATTTGGGGAGCATGCCTCTCAACTGCAACAATGTTCTTCAGAGTAGTAATAAGCGAAGGTCCAGAGCCTGGGGAGCGTGGAGGAGATGCACAGGGACAGAAGGGCTTAGACTAGTGTCATACACACCACTGCAGGGTCTTTGGCACAGAACAAATGGGCAAGGAACCTGGACAGGTAGACAGACAAGGCTGGGCCTGGATTCAAATGTTCGCTGTGAGAGATGTCTCGCTGGCAGCCTCTGAAAACCCTGGTCTGCTTGAACACACCCTTGCAGTTAGCTTTACCTGGCAGCCTGCCTGCTGCAAGGGCATCCCCTGGGAGATGGCCATTCACACCACTTGTGGAAGGATTGTTCATCTGACCCAACAATCCACTTCTCATCTCTAAATCAGTTGGGTACGGCCTCCGAGGGTCCCCTAAAACAATAAAGAAGCTTTTAACACAGGCTTAAAATTTTTTTTTTTACAAAATGTAAAAAAAAAATCACAATCCCAGAGAACCTAGACAACAATGAGGATCCTAAGAGATACATACATGGATCTAATTTACATGGGAAATAGAAAAAGACAAGATCTCCTGAGTAAATTGGGAGCATGGGGACTATGGGAGAGGGCTAAAGGGGAGGGGAGAGGCAGGGAGAGGAGCAGAGAAAAATGTAGAGCTCAATAAAATCAATAAAAAATTCAAAAAATAATTATGTTCTTTGAAGCATTAACTTTCCTTGGTGCACACTAAAAACCCCAAGCTCTTTGCGAAACAGGTGTCTGATTATATAGCCCATGCTGGCCTCAAATTTGCAATCCTGCCTAGGCCTCTTAATTGGCTTTACAGCAATGGACACCCACACCTGGCCTGCTTACATTTAAAATTCTCAAGCTGGGCATGGTGGGACATCCATTAATCCCAGCCTCCAGGAGGCAAAGGTAGGTAAATTATAGCAATCTTAATTCTTCCAACTTAATTCTATTTTTTAGTAAGAAACATTAACAATGATTCATACTTGAGGTCACAGACGGCATTACTATGACACTGAAGAAAAATCCCTTTATTAGCAGGTGTTATTTTAGGGAAGTATATTCCACATTTAAATCATTTTAATCTTATATAAGAAGCGCTGTTACCTGGAACCCAAGTCAGTGGTGCACACACAGCATTGCTTGCACTAATCCTATGTGCATATTTAATGATTTCTTCTGATGAGATAGCACCTGAGTTGAGGGAGAAGAAAAAGTTCACATCAGTAAATACAAGCTTAGAAGAGCGTACATCACAGGCACACATCATACTTAATTTTAATCAGGAAATAGGCTAATTTCAGCTGTCTCTCTTCCCTAACCCCAGCACACACCTTGAAACCGTTAAACACTTCCAAACTAAAGAACCAAAACACCATTCAGCAAAATCAGCTAACGTAAACTTGAGAGCTGCAGTGACAATGCTCAATGGTCTCGATTACTAGCCGCCAGCAAAGGCAGAGCTCTTCTGACCACCACAGCAAGGAACAGTAAAATGAGGGAAAGCGCTTCATCCCGGAGACATCCAAGCTAGGTCAGCAGTGCGATCCTCTGTGTGACAGCTGAGAGGGTTCTAAATGGACCGTGCACCAGAATCCAAGGAACAGGAAGAGCTCGTCATGCTGTCAACCTCAGGCCTGTGTAAAAGGCCTGTGAACCTCACTGACAGACTCAGCCTGTGT